AAAAAAAGATTAAAAGAAATTAAATAGTTGAAGATTTCACACCGTACCCGACGAGGCCTCTATGTTAGGATCGGGGTCTTTGAAAATCTTAAAATAAGATTATAATTTTTTGCCAGCCTACGTCCAGACTGCAGGTCAACAGGCTGCAATGCTATTTTTTGTTATATTAGGCTTAAATATTTAAACCGGAACTTGATCCGAACAGTGTGACGTTTCCTGCATTGCTTGTAATAATTATTTTAGCTTCTTGCTTATTTTTTGCATACAATGGTGTCACATCGTGAGTGCTCCTATTCATCTGTTACGCCAACTGCTATAATAATTTTGATTTGAGAAGAATTTTGTTTTAGGACACACATGAATATATTTTTGTTGCCTATATGATTGAACATTTAATCCAATATAGATGTGTTTTCTATATTAATATGTAAGTATGTAGTGCGTATAGTAGCGTAGCCTATTGTACTGTTGTATTCCGTATTATTGCTTTGTTCGGTGATAACCTTGACCAAAATAGTGAGTGTACTGTATGCCGATTTATGATTGCTCCATTTAGCCTAAAACTAAATGGTTCGAAGCAGGCGCTCTGCTCAATGCTTATACTCCTTTCCGCTTACACAGGCCTAGATTCCGGTAGATTGTGCAATGGACGATTGTCTTAATGGTTGTTATTTGGTTTGTGTCTGTTATATTGAACTTGTGTCTGTTATATTGAACTTTCGTTCTTTTAGATTTCGAAAACATTTCATATTTTTAGTAATATACATAAGGTGTGGATTCCGGGGGATGGGGGATATATCCCCCGATATTCGACAAGGGGAATGGTCCATTGTATTATCGATCCCCCCCCCCCCCAAATATTTTGACTATGTATGGGATAAAATGGAGCTTTACACACTTCAAAAGACTGTCACAGAAATAATTTACAATGTCTTATGCGCTTACAAAGATGAAAATTAGCATAATGTATTAATGTTGATAACAAAAAATTATTTTATCTGGTACCAATCTAAGCTCTTCTTCCTTAGATGTTAGATGTGCTTGCAAAGCAAGCCACATTTTCACACTGAAGGGTGTGTACGACATCAGTAATTTTATGTCAATGAATTTTCAATCATCCCCCCCCCCCCAATGAAAAATACTTTTCTACGCCACTGGTAATATAATTACTTCTGATGTAGGCCGTAAAAGAGTTCTAAGAACATACAATAGATCCACAGTAGGTCTCCCTCTTTGCATATCGTTTAATCAATAATTTGCAGTGGTGTTGACTAGCTTGGTGGTTAATAAAAACAATTATTGTCATCGTCAATTTACAATCTTTATACAGTTATACACAGAAGCCTGAATTACATAAACAATGAGCGTATGTCGGACGTAAAACGTGCGGCATATTTCCTCATATCAGGGAGTTGTTATAGTGAAACTCTCTGCTCATATCACAATTAGAGAAGATGCTTCTTTCCAATTCCAAGGGTCTTGGGTTCAATATTGAACTTCAATACCTTGTAAATGATATTTGAAAACAACTCCACACCCTAATGGCACTTAGTCTTACAGTGGTTGCCAACCATGTATGTAAATTAGTATAGGATCTGGGTTCAAATTTAGATTCCAAGACTTCTGAGGTGTTTTTAATGACTTTTCTGTTCTTAAAATTCAAAGTTCCCCCTCTTGAAAACAGTCAGGTAAATTTTCTCATTATTATTACTAGTAAATAGGCCTATTATGTGTGTATAGGCCTACATACAAAAAAAAACTAAAAAACGAATAGTTGCATACGTATTCGTTTTTCCATAACCAATTCCAAAAAGAAAGGAGGATCCGAGGGTCCTCCCCGGGAAAATTTTGATTCCTAGATAGCGGGAAATGAAATTTCTCGACTTCTGAGGTGTCTTTTAATGACTTTTAAGTTCTTCAAAATTAAAGGTTTTCCGATCAGGTAAATTTTCAATACTTATTACAGAAATAGTCCTATTATGTGTGTATACCCCTGGTTCTTAATTAATTAATTTGTTTGAAGGGCCAGATTATTTTTAGAGATGATGTGACGGGCCAAAGAGAGCAATCGTTGTACATCTGGGTGAAACTTTTTCCGCTAAGATAGATCTATTTTAAAGTGTGTTTTCTTTTCGCAATTTGAAATTATAGGGGTCTAATTTTAAATTTTACTATGCCTGTAATAGCGGTCATGACCCAAAATTGAGTCGCGGAAATTTTTTGTGTGGACATCAAAATGCAACAAGTTTTCCGCAAGTACACGTATTGTCATGTAGGACTAGAGAAATGCATTTTTATAGCATTTTTATAACTTTGTATTACCCCTCATTTGAAGTAAAGAATGCTATTAACGAATCACAGTGAACAGAACAAAATACAGAGGTGGAACTTGGTGGCACAAAAGTCGGGGTGATTCTAATACTTGAAAAAAAAGGCTGTTAACGAAACACAATGATCAGAACAAAAAACAAAGACAGAGCGTAATATAGAGTCCTGTATGACTTTAATTATTTGCAGGACAATAGCAATGTATTTACATTTTGTTTGGTGTTCTTTGGTTCACTAGGTGTTTATTATCATGTAAAATAATTAAGCTTATTGACGATAAAACCCAACAGACGTATTGCAAAGTAACATAAATTTAGTTGTGTTTACCTCTATGATTTAATATTGGGCTTCTACCATGGGTCATAAATCAGACATCAGGATTCTGCAATCACTAAAATTTTAACATGTCTATGATAAGTTGTTTTATTTTTCTCTGGGCTGCTATGTTAAATTTTTGCAGAGCTAATAAGAATACCAATCTTGGGAGTATTTTTTTATAATTTTGTTTACAGGGTTTAATTTTAGATCTGATCTGCGTAACCCTTAAACCGTAACGCACTTTTTTGGCTTGTTTGAATAACACAGTAAAGAATAGGACCACGGAAAGTATCCAGAGATCGATTTTCGGCGCTATTTATTCTATTTATGGCCTATATCATCTTACTCATTTTAAAACGACTCCATGCACATTACCTAGTGGGTTGTATTCTGTCTTTACTTTATTGAAAATGTAGGTTAGCATGCCTTTTGTAGGCCGGGAACCAGTAGTATTTGTTTTTACATTTCTTCACCGGGGGGTGGGGAAGGGGTTCGTCTGATCCCCCTGGATCCGCCATTGTGTCTGAGATATGCTACAAAAATATTTGTTCGGATCTCATACATAAATATGTAAAGCGTTTGTGTAGATAGAGTAATTTCAAAAACACTATTTATTGAGGCCAAGTGATATTGTTCTATGGTTTTGTACTTTTAGATTTCAATAACAGTTTACACCCAAATTGAAATTTCTTAAAGGTACATGCATCCCAGCACCCCCTTAAATTCAGACATTTATATCATATAATTTTCCCTTGGTAACAAAAAAAGAAAAGAAATCCAGCTCTCGGGTCCTGAAAATAGGTCTAGAATTTTTTTTTATTTTTTGCTTGGCAGCTCAAGGGGGTCAAACCCCTTCCCCAGATCATTTTCGTACCTCAGCACCAAACATGGTTGGACTGAGGTGGTGTTGACACCCTATCTGTAAAATTTACTTTCTGACCCCTTATTTCAAATTCCACTGGATCCGTCACTGTTTAGTGTTGTAGTTTTATGGCGAATCAGCTTCTATCTATAATCTTATTGGTGGAATATCACCATGAGTCGCCCTAAACAAAAATAAATAAAAATAAAAATAAAAATAAATGGGGATAAAAGAAAATTGCCATCAAAGTTTTCGGTCACCTAGAAGTGCCATAGACATAACATTTCGTACCTCACCCCAACATTGGTGGGGCTGAGGTGGTTTCTATTTTGAATTCCAGTCCACCTGTGCAATGTTGTAGCCCTACTTTCGTGTCGAATCATCTTTTATCTATAACCTTATTGTTGGAATATGGACAATGAGTAACACTTTGACATGGGGTCCGTGAAGACTTTTGACATGTCCCGAGGGGTCCTCGAATGCAAAAAGGTTTTGGACCATTGTTACAGAGCGTCTTACTATACCTGAATAAAATAATCTACCTATTCCATAAATAACCAAGTCGTTAGTAGAGGCAGATAGTTGCATTTAATCTATAATGTTAAATCAGATATCTATCTAAAATGCAGGTATCATTAATGGACGTTAAAGTATCTCATTTCGGTCAGTTGTTTCTTGCAGGTATGATAACGAGTGTATGACGTAACTATTGCGCCTAAAAAATATCAAAACGGTCCAAGTTCCCTGGACATCGGCAAAGAACTGCATGTGACGTGACTGTAAGGAAGACCTAGGTAAATATATTTGCGTTCATGTTGAAAGCTTAGTAAATATTTTAGTTATAGATATTTAGAATTTTAAATAACATTTTACTTGTTTTTTTAAATTTATTTACGCCAAAATATTACACATACCTCTTGCAGTATTAAGCGCCTCGAGGTTGTGTCAACGTGAGGCGCTATATAAACTTACAATTTGTGTTCATGTTTTTTTCGTGTTTATAAGATTTAATTTGTTCCATGTGCTTAGCCGGCACAGGAACAGCTTTTGCTGAATCTGTGATTTTTATTCCCTGTTGAAATTCATTGACCATTGTCATAAAACAATATTTTGAATACAGGCTTAGATGATTTGGTTTTTGCAGTTAGACATGTTATATGACTACCTATCATACATATTTTCTTAGATGTAAAGTAGGCCATATTTTATATTTTTACAGATTCCAAACATGGATACAGCAAAGGAACATACTTCAAATGCGTGTAAAAGTGGGGGTCGTCGTCGGGTTACCATAGAACCAGCGATGCTGGTGGTTATGATCTGTATTGGTCTTACTACACCCATTACTGTTCAGTATGTTAACCTCAGAGTCAAACATAAGTACAATATGACGTCGGAGACAAGTAAGACAGATTGCTTGAACTATTCGATTTACGATACCAACGATACGTCGATTACAGAACAAATTGAGCATGAGGTTACGCTTTGGAGTCTAGCACTTAGTGCCGCTGGAGCGTTCCCGATGTTAATCTCGACGACAATATTTGCTACAATGAGTGATTCAATCGGACGGAAGATACCACTTTTAGTTTCTTGTATCGGAATGATTGCTGACTGTCTCTCTTTTATTTTTATAGCCTACTTTTCTTTGCCTTTGATATATCTGGTGTTAAGTCGTCTCCTTTGGAACTGTTGCGGTGGATATCAGTTGTTCTTTTCGGTGTGTGCCGCCTATATCGGTGACATTGCCGTAAAGAGAAAACGTACTATGAAGTTCATCCTCTTACAGACGTTAGTATACCTTGGATCTGGAATGGCTCAGGTTGGAACTGGTTACTGGGTACAGGCTACGGGATTTATCCCACCTTATTGTCTTGCTGCAGTTCTCTTCATAGTGGTCTTTCCATACATAGTTATCCTAATACCAGAGACAGTCACAAATCAACTATCTTGTTCCTCAGTCTTTCGGAGGTTTTTCTCTTCCTTAAAAATGCTTTTCGTTTCAAACGAATCCAACAGACGGGTAAAGCTTCTGTTATTGCTTCTGTCACATTTTTTGGCCTTTAGTACCATTACGTACTACACACCTCTGATAATTTTGAAAGTTCTTGCAAAACCGTTCTGCTGGAGCTCAGTTCTGATTGGCTATTTCACCGCAGCGCAGCCGATACTGAGTAGCATTGGTAAGAGATTGAAGTTCCTGTTTTATTAACCTTACGCCAACGAAACTGTTACGTATTTAAAGAATAAGAAAGTTTCCGTTGAAATGCAAATAAAAATAATTTCTAGTTTATTTCCGCCATAGCCCTAAACATTGTAATATCTAACAATATCATGAATATCAGGCCAAACAAATTGTGTTGCTTAAGTACAGACTGACATTTTTGAAATCCGGAACAGTCTGGGCCTATTCTATGTTTCATGCAACCATCACTCACCCCCAAGATTTTTTTTTTGGGTAAAATGGTCACCACAGGGTTAAAATTCACGTTTAAAGTATTATATTTTTCAAACATCGTACAGAATTTCGGGATCCTTGGTCAAAACATAAAATATTTGGCTTTAGAAACGACCCAAAATATTTGAGATTTTTGGTTGATTGAACTTGGGCAAGACGAACATTTTAAATAATGTATTGGATTATTGAGCAGAATGACACCTTCACACCATCACTAATAATCGGTATTTTTAAAATCCTTGTATTACATAGGCCTAATTAGGTTTTTTACTAATTTTTACTTTAAATACCATTAGAAACGTATGTCCAAGTGCCAGGTTTATTTTTATTTATTTATTTTTAACAGGACTTCTACTCGGTGGTTATCTTCTATCCCGGTGTCTGGGTGACAATGGAATGATTCAAGTTGGGCTACTCTCGGGCATCCTCATGATGATTTTCACGGGACTTTCTACAACTACCGTAACTTTGTTCGTTGGTAAGATTTAAAAACAAAAACTGTTATTGAATTAGCTTTTATTAGGAGCCTACATTATGTCAATACCTCCTGGATTCAAATTCAACGACTCTCCAACATCACAACATCATTACCATCTACCCACACGTGGCATATTCATCATTTCAAGACCTTTACCTCACACTGAACTGATTAATTAAATATCAGGATCGAGAATATAGTCTATTTAATGCATTGTATGTGTTAGAATATAATTTGAAAAACTTCTCTTTTAGTTGCAGCAGTCGGAACACTTCGCAGTATTTCTATAGCAGTACTTATGTCCAGTCTTTCGAAGACTGTTGGCGATGAAGAACAAGGTGGGCCTTGACTATATAATAACTAACGATTGTAAGCCATAAAACTCTATTAAGTTCCTGTATCGGGCTGCAACGAAGCGTTTACTTGTTATAGCCCTAATATGATGTAGGCCTAACATATTTGTCTAACACGAATTACAACCAATAAGCCAACTCTGAAGTCCTGGTCCTGCTATCAAATTTAATTTGACAAACATGTCACATGCCTTGGTACCATAACCATATATAGGCACATCATGACTATATATGGGCATACAACAGTTTTTTATCAAAGAAAATGTGATAATCTGGACAGAGCTTTAATACTTACATCACACAGGATTACTACAATGTAAATAATTATGTCCTTTTAAGAAAAGAAATCTACTTAAAATTCGTGTCCCATACTTTAAAAAAAAATATACGCATATTTGTTAATGAGATGGTGCGTCAATTGCATAAGACACTTTATAAATGCAACACATTATATATCCACAGGTACATTGTTTGCGTTTGTCGGTGCTTTGGAGGGCCTGGGGTTGTTCTTGGCACCGCTAACATTTGGCAGTATTTACAAAATGACGTCTCAAACCTACGGGCCAACTGTGTTCTTTACAATGGCTGGAGTATTATCAGTAGCTCTGGTGTTTGTTTGGTAAGTACGAATATCGGTACGTACTTTCAAGAGAATGTGAACATATGGGGACGTAGCCACAGTTAACATACAGTTAAATTATTATTTGATTTTTAAGATAACACTGTGGGCTAATTTATCTTAGGTGTCTAGTGTATGTTTATCAAACACATGACATAGTGACGATTACAGCGTAGTAAATATATTTTGTTACAAATGTAAAACATTTATATTTTAAATATTCTTACTTTTTAAGGATTTTGAAAATCATGGATTTAAACCTCCAAAACCTGTACAGTAGAATAGCCAATGACGAGCCACACACATGACGTCGATGCTACTAACACCAATGCCAATGAGGCGATTGAAGACCGCACATAGGCCAAATATATCACATCACTATTTTCAGACTTATTATGTAGAACCCATTCGTTACAAGATTGGGTTGCTTGTGATGTCTCGATATTAGCATTTTTAAGATAATTCCCCAGCATTATATAATTATTTAGCATTTTATTGTTTGGAGGTTTGCATGGCGAAGAAATAGCATATATGTTGAAGCTTGAGGTACACCACGTAGGTAGTTCTGAACAGAACTGTTGTAGTTGAGAAAGTATCGACGTTTCGATTGAGTTGCTTCTATCGTCTTCAGGAGAATTATATCAGATATTATTCTCCTGAAGACGATTGAAGCAATTCAATCTAAACTTCGAGACTTTCTCAACTACAACAGTTCTTTTCAGAACTACCTACGTGGTGTACCGCAAGTTTCAACATATATGCTATTTAGCATTTATTATTTGGTACATTTTAGTATTTAGTGCAATTTTCATTGGAGTAAGTTGCAGAAGGGAATGTGACTCAATTTCATTAGTTTAACTGTTAAAATAAAACATTTACATCAGTATTATCCACTTACACATTTTATAAATAGGTTTAACATTGAAAACCGATATTTTATTGATTTATGATTGTAAACTTTAAGAGGACCGTTAAATAGATGTTATATTAAGATGGTGAATCTTGAAACCTACAATGTACATACATTTTCATTTTGCTAGTTGTTGTTAAAGCTTGTTTTGCACTAAAGCCGGGCACACACTGCACCCGATTGTCGTCGGTCGACACGATCCTATGGAGAACGCAAAGCCACGACGCGCGCGCAACAGATCGTTTTTTAATGACGCTTCGTTCAGACTGGCACCGACAATCAGCAGACGGTGTCGCGTCGTCTAGCTGTCACAGGGTGCGAAGTTGGATTCGCCTTACGACGGTCGTCGTAAGACGCAGCTACTATCCGTTATCCAGATGCCCTTATCGCGAATAGATGATGATGATGATGATGATAACGATCAGATGGCCAGATAATGAATTTAAACGACAGAATACAGTCAGAAGCTGATGCATTAAACATTTGATGATAATGATGAAAATGACGATGATAATAATAATGGTTAAAATTGATGGAGGTGATAATGATTATGGGGTAATGATAGGGAGGATGTTAAAGAAAATGATGACGTTAGTTTCTATAGCGCATCTATGCGTCTCTGTGTAGAATAAGAGAAGAAATGTTATGAAAATAATAGAAACTAAATCATAAAATATTCTACCATTAACCAAAAAAAGCTGAAAACAACTGAAGACAGAGAAACCATTTTAAGGATAAAGATGTCAATCAAATGAGCAGATAATGAATTTAAACGACATAATGCAGCAAGAAACTGAAGAAACTGAACTAAATATTTCTTTAACAATTCGATTTTTGTTGACTCAATTCACTAGCTGGAAGATCATTATAAAAAGGTAGGCAAACAGACAGAAGGAAACGTGAATAATCGGTTGCCATTCAGTGTTTTTTTTTAAAGGAATGTAATGTGTTCATCTGTAGGGTGGCGATAAAGAGTTTCGGACGTTGTAAGTGCCAGCAATAGGTATATCTTCTTCATGGTATGATACCGGAACTTGTTTTCTATTAACAATTTCCTATATATTATAAAGAAGTACAAAACAATGGGATGGGATTGCTCTGAGTACTTTCTGTTTACTTTCAAGTAGGCCTACAGTTGTTTTATTTGATTCGACAATATAATTTCTATGTTTTGTTGGAAGCCATATTTCAAAGAATGTCTGTGTCAGGGGCATCTAGTCCAGTGTAGTTTTACGTAATAAGTATTGAGCACAGTGGACTGGGACGAGTTTAGTGAAATTGGTATATTTTCTGTTTAGTACAATTAGTACTGGTTGCATCTTTAGTTGCTTGACATGATTTGCAGCATCCTGGGATTGGAAGACAAGGTGCATATATACTACCATGTGGGGTTCCGATATTGTTAATCGTGATATTATTTCATTTATTAATTTCAACAAATTGCACATCTAACGTCACAAAGTCCAAGCTTAGTCAAATGATCAACATGAATGATTATGATTTGTAGTCTTGATAAATGATTACATCTTTTCCAAATGTATCTCTGTTTTATTTTCAGAGATTTTAAATATGGATAGACATACATCAAGTGAAGCATCATCAATTCTGGGTAGAACTGTGGTTCGACGTCGTCGGGTTACGGTAGAACTAGCCGTGTTCGTGGTTATTATCTGTATTGGTCTTACTGCGCCCATTACTGTTCAGTACATTAACCGTAGAGTCAAACATAAGTACAATATGACGTCAGAAACACGCCAAATAAACTGTTTAAAAGATGTTAGTATTATTAATGGTACGTCGATTGAAGAACAAGTTGAACAGGAGGTTGCGGCTTGGAGTCTAGCACTTAATGCCGCTGGAGCGTTCCCGATGTTAATTTCAACGACGATATTTGCCACGACGAGTGATTCAATCGGACGGAAGATACCACTTTTAGTTTCTTGTGTCGGGATGATTGCTGAATGTCTCTCTTTCATTTGTATAGCCTACTTTTCGTTGCCTTTGATATACCTGGTGCTGAGTCGTCTCCTTTGGAACTGTTGCGGTGGATTTCAGTTGTTCTTTTCCGTATCTGAGGCCTATATTGGTGACATTGCAGTAAAGAAGAAACGCACTATGAAGTTTATCCTCCTACAAACGTTGGTACTCTTTGGAGGTGGCATTGCCCCGATAGCAGTTGGTTACTGGGTACGAGCTACAGGATTCATCCCACCATTTTGCCTTGCTGTTGTGTTCTACATAACAGTTATCCTATACATAATTATCTTTATACCAGAGACAGTTAGGCCTATCAATAATATATCTTGTTGCTTTGTTTTCCTGAAATTTTTCTCTTCTGTAAACATGCTTTTCGTTTTAAACGAATCAAACAGACGAAGTAGGCTTCTGTTATTGCTTGTGTCATATTTTCTGGTGTTTAGCACTATTGCGTACTACACTCCTCTAATTATTCTGAAAGTTCTTGAAGAACCATTTTGCTGGGGGTCTGTATTAATTGGCTACTTCCTAGCAGCACACCCAATACTGGACGGAATTGGTAAGAGATCGAATTTTGTTAATTTATTTATGTATATGTACATGTGTGTACAAATCTGTTACATATTTTTAGAAGGCAATCTGTTTCTTTAAATAAAAATCGATTCTTTCCACCATATTGTAAGGTTGGATGTTAATTCCATAGATGCTTAATGATTAGTATATTTAAGTTCTAATTTTTAGCTCATCTTCACTATAATCATGTTGACTCATGCTTGGTAATTTATGACTTGCATCCGAGCTTAATTTCCAGCAAGCCTTTTTCTCGGCGGTTTTCTTCTATCCCGGTGTATGGGTGATAATGGAATCATTCAAGTCGGACTGCTCTCTGGTATCATCTTGATGATCTGCACAGGACTTGCTACAACAACATTAGTTTTGTTTGTTGGTAGGTCTAAGATTTAACTAAAGTAAAAAGTTATTATTACGGTATTATCTTATACTTGTAGGCCTTGTTCGTTTGTATTTAAATATGGTCTGATAATTTTCTCTTTTAGTTGTGGTAATCGGATCCCTTGGCAGCATTCCGATAGCTGTATTCATGTCTAGCCTTTCGAAGACTGTTGGTGAAAACGAACAAGGTGGGCCTTTTATACCTAGCTAATAAAGGCCATATTTTTCGATAGGGCCTATTAGTAGATTACAACAAATAGGCCTACTCGTATTCACATTACTGAATAAACTTTACTTTGTTGAACACGGTTCTTAGATTTCTCGACGAGTCGACACAATATTTATTATAAAGATCATCCATCGATTGTATAAGACACTGTATACATACAACTATATATACATTATTCATCTACAGGTACATTATTTGCGTTTGTCGGTGCCTTGGAAGGCCTGGGCGTGTTCCTGGCACCGCTAATACTTGGCAATATTTACAAAATGACTTCTCAGACCTACCCACCAGCCGTATTCTTTATAATGACTGGAATATTGGTTGTAGCTATGGTGTTTGTTTGGTAAGTAGGACTACCAGTACGTACTTTCAAGAGAAATATAGGGTTAGGGTTAGGCAATGAAATGCTTCACATGTTTTTAATTGATTAAAAATCATTTAGAATCAAATTTAAACACATGTTTATATAAATAGGACTATATTATTTTGTGCATTATTTACTTTAAATATAACATTATAGAATTTATCTTGAACCTATTGCGATTGTTTATGATTATACAAAATGACCAAATACGCTCACAGGCAATAGTAAAACAACTTCCTATAAGTTAAACATTTACATTTTGTCTCATCTTTCTTGTTTAAAGGATTTCGAAACTCCTGGATTTAAACTCCAGAAACAGTTACCAAAGAGTAGACACCGATACAGTCACCACATCTCAAGTCGACGTTACCAACGCCCTTGTATATGAGATGACAGAACAATGAACACTACATCAACATCCTCAGATTTTACTTGTGAAGGTTCATTTCAAGATCTGTTCGTGACGCCATCTTTAATAATGCTTTTAAACACATTTTCAACCAATTGTAAAGCTTATATTATCCAATAGTTATGGAAGCATTAGCAATATCATCAAAGTGTTCTCTGGATTGATCTTCATTTCTATTATTTAACACCTTTGAATATTTAGTGTTTCTCCATGTACATTGGAGTACGCTGCAAAAAGGAAACAAAGGATTCATTAGCTCAACTGCTAAGATATGTACAAATAAGTTAACCACTTATCATTTACAAACACAGTAATTGAATACCAATATTGTCCGGTTTTATACTTTGAGCGTAGTTGGCAAATAACACGTTAATTTGAAACATGTGTGGTTGTTTAAGTTACCCACCTGGTCAGACACATGGGTACTATACATAATACAGCAACAAGGTAGAATGTAAATTGTGGGAGAAACGATGTCGTAGCTGATTATATTGAGTACAGCAAAAGAGGAGACAGGAATCCTGCGATGGATTGGACACTGGCTAAAATTGCAAATGCTACACCTTTAAAAAAAAATGTTATATAGAGTATAGCAGTGGAAACGGATATTTTCCTGCATTTAATTTTCGAAGATATCAAGTAAAATCCATTTAATCCACAGACACTAGTAAAGAGTTGTAGCTCGGTGGTTATAATGCTTGCCATTGTTTTGAGACAAAACTTAAACCAACTTCCGGCACGGTATAAAAACTTTCAGCGACCTGTTAAGAGATACATACAACTTTCTCAATGTCGTTGGTTAAATTGAGAAACCTGGATGGAGTATTTCTCTTCTGATTGGGCCTAAGCCTAGTGGCGTAACGAGGGGGCAGGAGGCCCCTGAGTAGGGGCCGTTTAGGGGCTGGGGCCGGGGGAACCGAAGCCCCGATCGCTAAGGCGATTTTAACGTTGTATGGCGTATTTGAATGTGCATTTTTATACTCATTTGAATTCTAACTTTATGTATCGTTATTTGACCCAAAAGAGCATACCTAATTTTAAGACATCACAATAGATATTACAATAAATACCAAACAAATCGAGCCAATTACTCCACAGACTTGGAAAAGGGCCTTGGTTATTTGTTTGTAAAAAAAAAATGAATTTGCTGGGGGCCCCTTGAGGCTAAGGGTCCCCTGGCTTTAGCCAGTGAGAGCTCATAGCCGTTACGTTACTGCCTAAACATTATAATGAGACGTAGAAACTTAATGAGTACCGTTCCATCCTGTGAATTTAATGTAATGTGCAGGCACTTTACATGTAATGTGCAGATACTAGTGGATGTGAAAATCGAATCTGAGTAAGAGGCTCGATATACCAATACTAAATAATAAACATTATTAGAAATTACCTTGTTCGTTCTCAGAAACTAGGTCGGCAGTCATGGTCTTCGTCAAAGGTGATACAAGTGTTCTCAGCGACCCTGCCACTGTTGCTGGAGACCGTCCAACATTTACAAGATGTACCAATAAGATGTGAGGCCCAGTAATTTCCCGCCTATTAACATTCCTAAAATGAATAAGAAAATGTTGAATGTAGTTTCTTTACTTTTATAAATATGTCTATATAATGATCAAAATTGTATAATGCACCATTAAAAAAAATTATCACGCTGTCAACCCTCAAATATTGTTATAGAAATGGTTTTTACATTAGCTAATATTAGAAAATTATATTATATATATATATATATCTTACTTTTTACATTTTAAATTAAGTTATGAATTTCAAATGCGAAATCGAGAGAATAGTAGGTCTGTAGCAAATTAGAGGATGATACCGACTATTCATGCATATGCCGTAAAATGATCTGGTAGTCAATTTAAGGACTTCCGTAGCAAAAAGTAAAAATTGTACGTCATATGATATAGTTTGTGTTTCTCATTGAAAGGTGAAACTTTATGATTCCAATTAAAAGGTTTTTAAATTTTTATTGAATTTTAAAGCTTCTGTTTACAGATTTCACTAGAGAATATTTTTAAATATTTAGAGTATATAAATATAATATAAAGAATTTTAGCCTAGTAAAGATAATCTGAAATTCATAAAATACTACCGAGTCCTGGGAAAAGAGCCCCCGCTGCACTGTAGTATCCAACAATTACAGGAGACCAACAAAATGGCTTACCAAGACCGTAGATTGTTACAAGTGTTATAAAACTTGCCCACATTAGCACAAATATGAAGTAAATTGTCAAAACTATCATCAGTCTGTATTGACGCCGAGGTTCATTATATCTTTTGCCAAATACTTTTGGAATTTGTTTAAGTTGGTTTCCCAATGTCTTCGGGAATTCTTTTTCCCCACTAGAACCATGGGTCACCGTTCCTTTAACATGATGTGTTTGTATGGATTCTTTAAATAGTCCAGGAGTTATGATCCATATTACTGAAGCTAGACTTAAAGAAAACGCTAACCAAAGTGAAGCTTTGTAACCCCTGAATTTCAAGAGGTAACCCAGAAAAACCTGGGCGAGTCCAGATGCTGCATAAATTGTTGTTTCTAAAATTATCATCCGAAATATCCTCGGCTTATTTTGAGTAATATCGGCCATGTAAGCGAAACATGCTGCGTTGAACAGAATAACATCACCACCAAGACCCTGGATTAAGTTGACACCAATGAGAAAGTAAACACTTAGTTCCATGTAAACAACAGCGAGGTATAAACCACAAACAACAACGAATGTAACAGACGGAATCAACATCGCAAATTTACGGCCGTAAACCTCACTCCACGACCCGACGATCATTGACACAAACAACGGCGGGAGACACTCTGCTACAGACATGTACATTACTAAGAGAGACGTGTCTGATTGGATTTGACTCTCTATTTCACAATCATGATCACTTTCATTCAAAAGACACGTTCCATTTTCTTTCAATAGGCCTACTGAAGACGTCTCATTGTAACTTTCCGATACACGATGTTTCGTGTATTGTGTCCGAAGCGTCAAGAGAATTCCCATGGCTAGCATAACAAGTAACAACACTGGCTCGACAGTAACCATTCGATACTGGACTGGCTGTGTGTCATCTCGTTTGGTGCTCTTGAAAGACATTGTTAAATTCGTGAAAACTAGAAATATGTGCACGTAGATTTCTAACGAATATTTATATTCGGTTCCTTTTACATATACTTACAAATGAATTATAAAATATAAAATAAAAGAAATCATAAACAGCCACATGCTAATGGACGAATTTAGCTATGCCATCAGATGCACATTAGGCCTAATAATTATGTTGTATTCCACAATCTCTCGTTGGTCCCTTGAACAACTTCCACGGGAAATAACAAATTTTAATGGTATAGGTCTATTGACGTCTCGTCCGTTTGAATTAGTCGATCTAAACCTTTGCTTGCTCCTCTCAATTATGCTATGCTTACCTTATTTTCAGTCACGTCGATAATCAATAGGCTTACTGGCCAGTACAGGACGAACTGGGCCAAACATCGGTGTTTTTGTGCATACAGATAAGCATTTACAGAACTACAATGTACGCTTACCGTACCTTTGATCTTTATTGGTTTTTATTGAAGAGATAGCTGAAGTTTTGATAAAAATTGTGCTTTCACTGAAAATACCGTAGATAGCTAACAGTTTCATTCTTTCAAGACTGAATTACATAGGCCAATTTACAATAATATATATTAAAAATTCCAATAACATAACAAAACATAACATATTGTATTGCAATAACTCGCCCGTGCCGAGCGTCAAACTGATTTCCCACCCCAACAAGTAATGGTTTCAGTGGCTTAACGCTGGGGACGGAGCCCTGTGGCTTTCTGAGTCTGGGCCCTTTATTGGTCTAACTGAAATCACGTTCGTCGGAGATCAGAAGAACCATGCCAACTTTATTCTTTTGTCAGTCAATATGTAGGCCCTACTTAAATCATGAAAGCCTCTTCATATCACCCACCACAAAATAAATCTAAATATCCTAAAATTAAATTAATATAATTTTGAAATACTCATAGGACCACATAACAAACAGACGAAGCAAGCTCCTGTTATTGCTTGTGTCATATTTTCTGAAAGTTCTTGCTGAGGGTATGTATTAATTGGCCGAATGTACACAATTGGCACATGTGCACTATAATAAGTACATCTTTCGAAACGAGTAGGGATTACTCCGGTGGACTGGCCAGCTTATACACGAAGAGATCCTGAGGGGTTAAGAAAGTTACTGTATGTGAGAGTGTAGTCCACGCTTTGAGCGCTCTGATCTTCATGAAATAGCGCTGTATAAATCATGTCATGTATGGATATTGTAATGGAATTATTCAAGTCGGGCTGTTCTCGTGTTTATCATCTTGTGGATCTGCACATGACTTGCTACAACAAAGGTAGCAGGCCCGTAGCCAGGTTCTTCCAAGGGGGGGGGGGGTTCTGGTCGTGAGGTCCACAGTCGAAGCCCCGGTGGGGTCGGCGAAACCCCCAAAGCAAGAGGATGTTTGTGATTTATGGGTCTAAATAATGCTATAAAAGCAGATATGTTTGAAAATGTCTGTGTCTGGGTGGGTTTGCAGTGCAATAGTTGGGTTGAAGCACTTATTTGGGAAGTTTAAAGAGGGGGGTTTGCTACAAAAGGTGGGTTCTCCCGAACCATACACCCCCCCCCCCACCACCCTGGATACGGGCCTGAGTAGCTGTGTTCGTTGATATGTCGGTAAGATTTACCTAAAGTAAGAAGTTATTATTACGGTAATATATAATTTGCATGTTTGTTTGTATTTATATATGATCTAAAATGTTCTCTTTTAGTGGTGGTCATCGGACCCCTGGGCAGCATTCATATAGCTGTATTCATGTCTAGGTTTTCGAAGACTGTTGGTGAAAATGAACAAGGTAGGCCTTTTATAGCTAACTAATAGAGGTCATATTTTTATCTGGATACAACAAATAGGCCTATTCGTATTCACATTAATGAATAAACTTTACTTTGTTGAACACTGTTTTAGACAATAATCGGCATATTATTCATTATAGAAACCATCCATCGATTCTATGAAGTACTTAACAACTATATGCATTATTTAGCTACAGGTAATTGTTTGCATTTGTCTGTGCCTTGGAAGGCCTGGGAGTGTTCCCAACACCGCTAATACTTAACTGGCAATCTTGAAATAAATTTATTTGGATCCAAATATAATTTGTATGAAATTTTTCATTTGTGTTGATCCAGAAAAAAAAACAGTAGTACTCACACTACGTTACGTTAACTGGCAATATTTACAAAATGGCTTCTGAGATCTACGCACCAGCCGTATTCTTTACATTGACTGGAATATTGGCGGTAGCTATGGTGTTTCTTTGTAGGGTCGGTAACTGCAATAACATGCTTAACACGCTTTAATTATTTTTTTTAAAATCATTTAGAAACAAATTTAAACATGATTATTTAAATATAGCTAAAATATTTTTTTTAATCTTTTTATTTTTGCATTATTCACTTAAAAACAAACGTTATAGACTAATGCTTATTGTGCGATTCTTCTTCTTCTTCTTCTCCGTTTGGGCCAACATCATAATTGACGGCTCCAAGGTCTTCTCTCGATTGATCCATATTATTTAAAATCTTTGAATATTTAGTGTTTTTCCATGTCAATTGGAGTACGCTGCAGAAAAAAAAGTTTCGTTAGTTGAACTACTAAGATATGATATTTACAAATAAGTTAGCCATTTATCATTTACAAACACACAATCGGATAGGGATACTGTCCGGTTCGTTTTATACTTCGAGCGTTTGTTAACACGTTGAAATATTGTAATTGGGGATATTGAAGGCATTTGGTTATAGTTTACCCACCTGGTCAGACACATGGGTACTGTACATAATACTGCAACGAGGTAGAACGTAAATTGTCTATGAAACGATGTCGTAGCTGAGTATATTGAGTACAGCAAAAGAGGTGACAGGAATCCTGCGATGGATTGGACACTGGCTAAAGTTGCAAATGCTACACCTTTAAAAACAAATGTTATCAGATATTTTACTGCATTCTATTTACGAAGATATTAAGTCATAGAGATAATAAGACACTAGGAGGGAGTTGTAGCTCGTTGGTTTATTTGCCACTGTTTTGACACACAACTAACTTCTATCTACGGTATATTCAGCAGCCTGTTAAGAGACATGCATAACTGTAAAAGCATTATCTTGTAACGGTCGGAGAACCGGGTGTTCATTTTCAATGCAGTTGGTTAAAATCCTATGAGAAACCAGGAACCAGAACATTTCTCTTCTGATTAGGCCTAACCATTATAATGAGATATGTTAGCCTAACTTTCCATCCTGTGACTAATACACTACAGGTAATATTAGATGTGAAAATCCAATCTGAGTACTCGAGTAAAGGAATGCTAAATAATAAATATTATTAAGAATTACCTTGTTCGTTTTCAGAAACTAGGTCAGCAGTCATGGTTTTTGCCAAGGGTGATGCAAGTGACCTCAGGGACCCTGCTCCTGTTGCTGCGATCGTTTAAAAGACATTATATATATATATATATATATATATTATATATATAATGTATATATAACATATATATATAAATTACATATATATACATTATATA